GTGGCGGAGCGTTGCACATTAACCGCATACGGCTTGTAGGAGGATCGCGTCGATTGGCTGCCAATTCGTTTTGAGGCGATGAATGAATGATGATTGGTGATGAGGTTGCATGATATTGATGGTGGTTAGCAGCGACAGTGGGTTGGGAGAGAGAGAGAGAAAGAGAAATACCAATCGAGATTAGAGACACACAATACAGAGATACGGGGGACACAAAAGCCATGGGGATTCACACAATTTAGATCAGTTAGTAGGGTGGTTGGGTAAAACACTCTGACTGCTGCTGACTTGACTCCCTGGCAACGTCAAGGTCCTGGGCCTAGTTTACCTGGGCGATATCTTGCTGCCATCGGTGCTGTTGTTGTTGGACGAGTTGGCCTTGTATCCACTCTTTTGGATACGCTTCAGCAGGCGCGCCACCCACAGCGACTGATCCTCGGGCGAGGCGGCCAGCAGCAGCATGTCCCGTGCGCTGCGAGGATCGTGGTTCAGCTTGCAGGGCGCCAGCGGGTCGTGCTTGTCCACATGCTCCTTGTGAATCTTGTTGCGGCATCTGGAAACGTGGTATCAAATAGAATCAGTAATGGGAACTCAATAGATCATAGAAAATAAAACTCACCTCTTGCATTCGTAAGCCGCCGGCGGCTTGAACATGTGCCACAAGGGCTTCGGGCACACCTCGCAGGCCGTGGGCATGTGGTAGGTAATGTGGACGAACTCGTGACCTGTCCAAAAGAGATGCGTTTAGTCAAAACAATTGCCTTCGTCCCTTAATAAGGGCCACCTCACCTTTATGGACAATTGTGCCCGGGCGCTCCTCATTGCTATTGCCATGCAGTACGCTCACATCCAGCTGGCTCTGCTCATCGGGACGATGGGAGGCGCCTTCGCCGGCGTATAGCAGCTGGAAGATGCGCGGAATCTCTTTGGCATCGGCGCGTATGACATCGCCCTGAGTAACGCTACGAACATGGTACACCTTGCTGCAGGGGTAGAAATAATCATTAATACTAAACTCTCTTAGATTGAAAATCAAACGCACCTCAGGTCCAGGATGAGCACGGCATCCGTGGTGTTGTGCTTGTCAATGTCCGAGTTGTAGAAGATGATCTTGCGCGACGAGACGATGACGTACTGGCGCTTCCAGCCGTGACCACGTCGTCGGTTCTGCTTGTTGGGCACACTCAGCCAGCCCTCGAAGACCGAGTCCTGTGTAAGGGAGAGCAGAGAGGAGTGCTAGAGAGGCGTGGGAGTGGAGTGGAGATGGTGGAGGAACGTGTGTGGTTGGTGTGGTTCTGTGTGAGTGTTCTGTGTGTTCGCTGGGCGCTGGCAATAATGCTCACCTGGCTGTCCTCGGGATCGTTGTCCGCCGATGAGAGCGACGCCGTCTCGTTGAGCTTGCTCTGCAGGTGCTCGATCTCGGTGGCCTTGCAGTCGATCTCCATGACCATCTTCTGCTTGAGCTGCTGCTCCTCGGCGCACAGCTGTTGCAGGTCCTGGTGCTTCAACAGCAGCTGGTTGAACTTGTCGCGCTCCTGTGACAGCTCCTGCTGCAGTCGTCGCATCTCCTTCTCCTTCTTGCGCAGCTCCGCGGTGGAACGGGCCTTGTTCTTTTGCTCTGCGGAAAGTAAATTTTCAATGGAATTAGAGAAGTCGGGTGAGAAATACAGATACAACTTACTGGGCAGGTCGGAGTCGCGACGGTTCATCACCTCGGCCAGTTTGTTGACCGCCACCTGTTTGAGGAGGACCTCGTTCTTGCACTTGTCCAGCAGCTTGGCGATCTCCTCGTCCTTGCTGCTCCTCATCAGCGTCAGTTCCTCCTGCTGCTTCTTGTGCTGCTGGACGAGATCCTCGCACTCGACGCCCTTCTGGCCCAGCTTCTTGTGCATCTCGATCTCGGCCTCCTTGAGCGTGGCCAGGGCCGCCTCCTTGGCGTTGATCTCGTTGCGGTGCTTCATCACGAAGTCCTTCAGCTCCAGCTCCTTGATCGTCTTCTCCTTTTCGAGATCGGCCACGGTCTCCTCGGCAATGGAGCGGGCCAAAGCTTCCGAGTCCGCCCGTGCAACGGCCACCTGCACCTGGTGCTTGAGTGAAACGCGCTCCTCCTCGAGATCCTCGATCTTGGCCAGCCGCTCGGCGCTCTCCTCGCGATTCTCGTTTGCCTGCGTCTTATACAGCCGCGAGAAGCACTGCTCCGCCTCGAGTTGGGCCTGTAGCTCGCGGTTATTGGCCAACGCCTCGTGGTGGGTGCTCTTCAGCTGAGTGAGGTCTTCCTCGAAGCGTCGCTTCGCCTCGCGCTGGGCAGAGAGCTCCTTTTGCAGCTGGTTTTCGCGGGAACGCAGGTGGGCCACCTCCGAGCTGTGAAGACTGAGCTCCGACAGCAGGGCGTTGCGTTTGCTGTGCTCCTGGTCAAGCTGCGACTGCAGGGCGGCCACCTTCTCCGACTCCTGGCGGCACTCGCCCTCGAGCTTCTGGAGGCGCAGCTGGATTTGGCGATAGTCCACGGATAGCATGCTCAGCTGGCGCTCCTTCTCCTGCGAATGCTGATCGGCCTTGATGCGGGCGGACTTCTCCTCGTTGAGCTTCGACTGCAGCGCCTTGACCTCCTGCAGATTGGCTTCCTCGCGGGAGACCAGGCGCGACTTCTCGGTCTCCTGGTGAGCCTTGACCTCCTGCTGGTAACGGCCCTGGGCCGCCTTTAGCTCAAAGTCGAGACCCGCGTGCGCCTTCTCCAGCTCACTGATCTTCTCAAGCAGCGCCCGATTGTCCTCTTGGGCCTTCTGCTCGCGAGCCAGAGTCCGCTCAATGTCGTTGATCAGCGTCTGCATCTTGTTCTCGGCCTCCTTGTGCATCTCCTTCAGCTGCGAGCGCAGATTCTTCTCCTGCACCACCAGCGCCTGCAGCTCGGCGTTCTCCTGGCCGAGTTCCTCCTTGTGCTTTTGGAGCGTGTCGATCATGTCGACCATGTCGCGCACCTTCTCCTCCTGCGACTTGACCGTGAAGTCTAGCTCGGTGTTGTGCTTCTTCAGCTTCTGCGTGTGCTCCGTCTCGGTTTTGTAGCTCTGCTCCATCTCCAGCAGCTGCTTTTCGAGCGAGACCACCTTGTCGTTAATGTTCAGGTCGCGGGCCCGCGTCTTCTGCTCGTTCTCCAGATTGCGCTGCGTCTCCACCAGCAGGGCCTCCGTCTTCTTGCGCAACTCGATCTCCTGCTCCACCTTCTGCATGGCCACCTTGTAGTTGTGTTGGCGCAGGGCCAGATCCTTCTCGTACTCCGAGGCAATCCTCTGCAGCTCCGCCTCGCGTTTCGTGATCAGCTCGATCTGCTGCCGCAGACCGGCGTCCTGCTGTTCCAGTGCCTCTGACCGGCCGCGTTCCCGCTCTAGCAGCGCCTCCAGACGCTTTAGCTCGTTGGAGTTCGACGGCCGATGGCGGTGGTTGTGCCCGTGGTTATTACTGGCCGCCCCGCTGTTCACCGCACTCGCCTCCTTGGACTCCGCGTCCACGGTGTCGCTGGATAGCAGCTGATAGTCGCCCGTGTAGGTGAAACCAATGAAGGGCAGATGATTGCCATCGAAGCCCTTGGGCACGGGGAATACCTCCTCCGGCTTCTCGTCCCGCTCGATGTCCTCGAAATTTCGTGTATCATCGTCGGAGGAGAGTTCCGGCACCACCGGGGGCACACTCTCGCGAATGTTGTCGAAAGACCAGGTGTCGTTGCGGAAGAACGGATGCGCCTTGATGTCCTCGATGCCGTAGCGTCCCAAACGTTGCGTTCGGTCGGTGAGGAAGGCGCGGATGAGGGCCTTGGCCTGCTCGCTGATCTCCACCTCGGGCGGAAAGCTGAGTGAGTTCTTGTGGTCCATGATCTTGCCGTAGGTGCCCACCAGCGAGTCCGCGTAGAAGGGCGTCTCGCCGAAGAGCATCTCGTAGAGGAAGATGCCCACCGACCACCAGTCGCACTCCCGTCCGTACTCGTTGTCCACGCCCTGTGACTGCAGCACTTCCGGACTGATGTAGTCCGGCGTGCCAACCGCATTGCTGGAGACCACCTGCCCGTTGGCGCCCATTCGCATGCAGGTGCCAAAGTCGGCCAGCTTCAGGTGGCCATAGCTGTCGAGGAGCATGTTGTCCGGCTTGACGTCGCGGTGCACAAAGCCCATGTTGTGGATGGTGTCCAGGGCCAGGACCACCTCCATCGTGTAGAAGATGGCCCACTTCTCCGGTATGTCGTAGTCGCCCATCAGCGACACTATGTCGCCGCCAGGCATGAAGTCCATGACCATGTACAGGTATTTGGCATCCTGCGAAGGAGATTTGAGTGGTAAGTTTAGTTATTTTAACTCATATCGTTTTAAATTACTTTTCTATAGCTATAATAATTAACTTAAATTATACTTAACTTATATTATATTGTATATTATAAATGTATATAATCCTTAAAACAAGAAATATGTTTGGGTTCTCAAAAATATATTTCTAAGGTATAGAAATCATACTTGATTACAAGGTACAGAGTTACTTGCGATCCTTTTAAAGGTAAGATCAAAATAATTGAAGCCATAAATAATAATAAAAAAATAAATATTAAAAGTAAGTTAAAATCTTTTAAGTTACAAACAAAGTCTAAGCTAAATCCTTGAAAAATATAAGAGCTACAGAATCTATTAGAATTTAAAGATTAAAAGTAGCCCATTGAATATCAAGGACTTTTAGACATGATCTTGTTCATAACGAATTAATATTTAGCTTTGAACTTTAACTTTGACAAATTCTGATTCTTGTAAAAGACAATATTTTGAGTTTAACAACAGGCTAACAATGATTTATTTAATCAAAACATACATTTTAGAATAACATTTTTCAGCTGTATATGTATGTACTGTACCCACTAAGTGTTAAATGGTTTTTAAATTGAGAGCTAAACAAAAATAATGGAAACTGAACGAAATTGAACCAAAAACAATAACAGAAACTGAACAAATTCGGAAAAAAGTTATGGAAAAAATTAAATAGTGATCAAATCAATCGCACAGAAATCCAAATCGTTTAAAGTTCTCATCGAAATGGGGTTTCTCAAGATCCTCAGGCTGCGGTTCGAACTGCAGCAGTTCCTCAATGCTATAGCGTTGCACGATTTTTCCGTTCAGGTCGAGAACAATAGTTATGGGACCATTTGAACTTCTACGGTTTGAAAACTTGCGAGACAATTGGAAATGGGTACGATTTCCCCTGCGTTTCTCCCCTTCGAGCAGTTTGCCTGGTGGAATATAGAGCGGTTTGGGTGGGGATGGTCCTGGATCGCCCTCTTTGGAAGACTTCAACGGCATGCCATTGTTTTCATTGGCTTTCGTTACAGGTGGCTTGGTTTTAGCTGGCTTGACATTTTCCTTATCGACCTCCATCTTGGCCAGGTGCTTGGCTCGACGTAGCTCGGACCATTCCTTGGCTGTGGGTATGTATCTTTTGGTGGCCACCTCCTTCTCCTTCGTCTCCTTCTCCATTTCTGGCTTCTTTTGAACGTTGATTTGACGATTGGGCGCCAGGATTCGTTTCTTCCTCTGCAATTGCAATTGCTGCTGCTCCTTTTTCTCGTTATCCATTTCCAAAATGACCTTCTCGATTCGATCCCTCTTCGCGATTCGCCAATTATCCACTTTAAGTCTTTCCTCCGGCGAGAATCTTATGGGCGATCGATAGAGATGCACAACCGGCTGGGTTTTCTCCGAGTTCTCGTTGGCCTGATTCGGTGAGGGCACCAAGGGATCCCTCATGCGTCGTTGCTCCACCAATTTAAGGGCTTCCAAGGCCACCTTTCGCTCCTGTTCGACTCGCCTTTGATAGGCCTTTGCGGCACTGTCATCGGGAGCTGGCAAATAGGATGTTGTAGGGAAAACAAATTCGGGTTCAATGTTTTTCTTGCATTCAGCAGGAATAGTCAGGTTTTCCTCATGCGACCTTCTATTTTTCTTGTGGCGAGGAACGATCTTGTAGTCCAGATCATTCAGCAGAATCGCCTGTGTACTGCGAGTATCTAAAATGAATAGTAATGAAAGAGCATACAAAACGCGTTAATCAAATACAAAAAGGGTTCCATTACGTATGTCGGTTCTCTTGGGGAATCCCTTCCAAGGCAGCGTTTTTATTGACTTGCTTGGCTCTGGCTCATCGAGGGCTTCAAACATTTTCTTTAGTTCTGTTAAATCCACTTCGAACTCGTCTTTCTCTACCTCTTCAAAGGACATCTTTCGCTCGTCCAAGGCCTCGAACATTTTCTTTAATTCGGTCAGATCCCCTTGATCCTCATCTTTGGTAGACTCTGCCTTCCCGAAGCGCGGTACAAATTCCGGAGCATTGGCACATAGCTTTACCCCACTTGATCCTGGCAGATTGCTAGTGTTATCACCATAATCCTCCTCATCGCTGTCCTCAAAGTAATTTTCCGGCAAAGGCTTCTTGAGGATCTCGAAGAGGGCGCGACTCTTTATCAAATTGTGCATGGTGGTTTCTTACTTGCTTTTATATTCTTCAGGTATTTTACGGTCTCGTTTTGTGAAGCTTTTGTATTATTTTTTTCAGACACAAAATTATAAGTACTTACTACTATACTACTGTTGGAGCTACTATGTAGATAGAAAATTGTAGTGATATGACTTAAAGTATTTGGCAAGGCTTGCTAGAAACAAACCAATTCATTGTGGCAAGTAAATAAATAACCTGAAGTTTATCTACAGGCTATCCTACATGATGCCTTTAAGCTGTGGTACAATAATAATAATACAATAACATTTATAACTTAAGTAAAGTTAAGTTAAGTAACATCATAAAAAGGTTCAGTTACTGACTAACATATGTATTTCGATTACATTTCTAACTTGTACCATTAGGGAATGTTAAAGTTAAGGTACCATATCATCTTAAAAAGTATATGATCCTGACTTATTTCGTTTACATATTTAACTTAAACACATCAGGGGTTTGTATTAGTTAAGGTACAATAATATCTCAATTACTCAATTACTGACTTATTTCATTTACTTTTCTAACTTTGACTCATTATTTCTTTCGCTTATATCATAAAAAGGTTCCATAACCGACATAAAGCCGTACTATCTTTACATTTCTTACTTAAAACCATCAGGCAATGTTTTAGTTAAGTACCTTAGTGCAATAGTATCTTAAAAAGGTTCAATGACTGACTTATTTCTAAATGAAACTCCCTGGGGAATGGTATTTCTTGAAAAGCCCGCTCACCTGGAAGGCAAAGTGCAGCTGGACGATCCACTCGGAGTTGGCGTGCGCCATTATGTGCCGCTCCTCCCAGAAGAAGGCCGAGTCCGGCCGCTTCATCATCTCGAACTTGGACAGCCGCTTCATGGCGTACACCTGGCTGGAGGACTTGTGCCGCACCAGCTGCACCTCTCCAAAGGCGCCGGCGCCGATGAGCTTGATGAAGTCGAAGTCCTCGACGTTCATGCGCAGCTGGTTGATCTGCAGGGCCAAGGGTTTGTCTGCAATGGAAGGAGATCGATTATCAAGGGATTTTGAATGATAGAATGACCAGGCAACTCACATTTGGCTGCATACTGCTCGATGTTTTTCAGCCGCCGCAGGGAGTCGTGGTCACAATCGCTGACCAAGGCCGAAACTGTGTCCAGCAGGCAGTCCACATTGCAGATGCTGGTCGGATCGCGCATCTCGCGCTCGAGCGTATTCGCCCTGGAAAAGGAAAAGATTGAAAATGGGAAATTGGAGGCGAATTAATCATCTGTGATTCGTTCATTGTTTACTTTCGATGAGTGTTTGATTGTTCAACTGTTCTTCCGTTGGTCGTCATGCAAATCGCTCGCATAAACAAACAAAAAAAAAGAGGGAAGAAAAGAGCAAGAACTATGAGGGAAAAGTGCGCGGATTACTCATGGACGTATAAACACCACTTCCCGGTACCCCTGGTATACCCAATTCTACAGCTGCGGTCCAAATAATGGAATTTATAACTTCGCACATCGTCGAAATGAAAGATTTGCTATTATATCCGCTTCAAAGAATTTAATTGGCCATGGTGCTAGAAGAGAACATATGTGGCGTAGTTTTGGGATTATGATAGGCCCATTTTCTTGGTATCACAAGGAGTTGGAGCATTTCAAATGGTTTAAATGTATTTTCGGTGGTTTATGTTAGGATCTAATAAGCCGTAGGAATCAGAATTTCTGCTATATTTTTTTTTTTAAAACCTATACAAATATTTTTCTAGCTGACCTGAATAATTCTACATGATTTCACAATTTTTTAAATTACTTAAAAAAAATTTTCTTTTATAAGTAAAAGATAAATACTTATAAAAGAGAAGACAGTACAAACACCCTTATAATAATCATCTTTATATTCGATTTTGATTTATAAATGCTATCAAATTGACCGCAACTGTCTGCGCTGACAATGTAAACAAAATAATCTTGGTTAAATGTCTTTTGGGGGCACTATGTTAAGATCCAATAATTAAAATAATTTTTTTAGTAACCCATAAAAGTATTTATCTTGCTGATCTGAATAGCTCTGTAGTGATGATTCCTTAGTCTAAAAATTATTATAAATACATTTTTACGATATATAATAAATACTTTTTTGAGGAAATTACTGACTGCCCTAATACCCAAATAATATATCATTTTTGGAAATGAGTAACCAAAAAAAGCTGTCAAGATATAATGTTATAATAATAACCCTAAAGAATCTGAATTTCTATAATACTTTTTATTAAAAACCAATAAAAATATGTATCCTGCCTATCTAAAGATAATTTTTTTTGGAAAATAAGTTTCCCAATCAAAAGTTTTAATGCTATTCAATTGACCGCGACTGTCTGCGCTGACAGTGTAAACAAAAAGCAGTCGAAATGCTATGGGGTTTCGGATCTTGGACTTGGAGTGTCGGTGACTCAGTGAAGAGTGGACACGGAATTCCCGGGAGATTTGCCCCAATCTGGTGGCTCGGTGGCAGACAAATTGGCGGCACAAGCCGGGAAATGCATGCAATATAGACGACGGGCTATGGCATTTAGAACACTGCTCGTCATTGATAACCTGGCGAAAGAGGAGCTGGCCGGATGTTAGGGGAGGGGGGCGGGCTGACTTTATCACCCAACGCTGTTGACTTTGATAAAATGTGGATGGAATGCAGACCACTGACAGCGACTGCAGTTGATACGACCCACTTGAGCAGCGGGAGCAGCCATGATGATGAGCACTCTGCGTTTTTCTGCCTCCGTTTACCGACTGCATTGTTTTTTAATGAATGGAACCAGCCACCTTCAGGCTGACACCCATTGAAAACTAGACTTATGGACTCGACAAAGTGTCTAAGTAAAAATCAGGAAAATATAGTGCTTTTGTTGTGTGCTGACCCTGATATTAAGTATACATAATCACAGTTTCTCATAATATTCATAATGTCATTGAAAAAAAGGGTTTAGACAGGGGAATTGTGAATGAAATAAAATAAAAACAAATATTTTACATTTACTAAGAAGAATTAAAATCAAAAAAAATATTTTAATGTTTCCTTAAAACTTTTTTTATCAGTAGAATAATTAGTTTGAGTTTTAGTGAATGAAAATGTGGTGAACATAAACAAATTTGCGTAAATAAAGTGTAGTATAGTATATACACATAGTACGCTTATTTGCTTAATCAGTAAATGTGGGTTTTATATTTTTCATTTTTATTTTGAAATTTGAGATAGGGTTAATATTAAATGATTTTGTCATTATCAGTTTAACTTATAAATCTGAAGAACAAAGTACATAAAATATTAAACAAGGTAAAGTACCTTTTATACAAACAAATCATACTGGAAAATAAGTAAATGATCAAAAATAAAATTATTTAAATGCAACAAGAACGAGAAGTATGTACTTATGGGAAGAAACCGAATTAAGATGATATGGTACATTTGGTGAATTAATAGGTATTTGCATACGAGATTAGTGGACCATGGGAAAAGTGCTATTCTGGGGGAAATAAAACTGCTTATTCGGAAAAGAGCCGAGCAATTAAAGCTGTTTTCTGGGGATTTCTGTGAAATAATCAGGTAAAACCTAGTCTACGATAGTTTTTTATTCGTGGGCTGGCCCAAAGTAACCAAGATTTATATGCAATTAGCTGGCAGAAAGGCAAATATTTGCACTGCCCCCAAAAAACTGAAAACGAAGTATCGGATTCGAGACGAGAGAGCCCAGGTCTCAGGCGAACTGCGATGACAGTCGGCGCTAAAAATTGATACTAAAAGGTGTTTGAATTGTTGTGATTTCATCATCGCCACTTACGGCATGACAGAAAAGCCAAAAACAAAACGTCCAAACAGCGGGTAATGGCAGCACGGCAAACGCAAACAACTTGGGAAAGTGGAATTTTCAAAAATGCTGCGATGAATTTTCGTTGCCGCTGTTGATTTCGATTTGGCCAAAGCCAGCAACAACAACATAATTATGAACAGCAACAACAACAACAATAATAATACATAATAACCGCTGCAACGACGGCAAACGACAACATTATCGTCACCTATAGACAATATAATTTTCAGTTTAATTTATACAACGTTGCCAAATTCGATCTGGATAGCAGTTCTCTCTCAAGTTAACAAATTGTATGCTTTATATTGTGGATATAGATCATCTGCTTTTGCATCTGCGTTGCAGAATCTCTTCGCACCTTATTAATTCTAATGGTTTTTGGGCAAAAACAAAGGAACTGGTTGGCTTTTATGATCGCAATGCGCAATGCAATTGGCCTTTGTTGTGGTACGCAAATACCTTTCCGTTTGTGCTTACAAAACAGATATTGAGTGGATGGGTAATAAAACTAAAGAATTTATATGCATAGTCGCAGCTATGGAATTCTTTGATTGCAGGAGGAGTAGTAGCTTTGCTTTTGGAATGGTGAATTTGATCGAATTCTTGATTTTTTGGAAGCGGAGCAGGACGAGCAACCTACCGTTCCGGCTCGCTCGAATGGAGGGCGGCGGGCAACAGCCATGGCCACATGCCCTATACCGTCTGCTGGTCCAACGGGAGAACCGGGGATTGGGATTCGAATTCGGATACGGATTCGGGTTTGGGTTTTGGCCCAAAAACGATGCAGCCGATGCAACGCGACGCCTGCAACTGACAAAACGGCGACGGCGGCGGCGGCGGCATTAGCTACTGCGTTCGTTTCAGTTTGGTTTGGTTACAAATTTTAATGCGAAAATGGCAAATTTATTATAAAGTCGCCCCCCGTTTTGTTCACTCGCTTGTCAATTTGATTGCCGCGCTGTCGCTTTGAACATGAGATATGGAAGGTGTTTGCCAGCGGCAGCGGTGTATTACTTTTTGATTTGTTTTGGCCTGGCTTGGTTTGGCTTGCGCTGAATTGTGCTGGCCAGCGTAGTTGAACAAATCACAAAAATCGCAAATCTATCTGTACAGATCGCACGTATCTATGTTTCTAGTGCCGCTGATGCCATTCGGGTGACAATTAACTGAGTGGAGCAGTCGCTTTTGGGCCGCCATCTCGAGCACTCACCGGCGCCTTCGTTCCACATCCATGCTGCGCTGGCTGCTCACAGGTTCTCGTCCAGCTGGCATGCAAATGGAGGATATGTCCAGCCGCTGCTGCTGCTGCTGCTTCCTGGTGTTTAGCTGCTGCTCCTCCTGAAGGCGGAAAGAGAATGGGTTAAACTAGATGCTGATTTGGAGGTTCATACTGCTTACCTGCAGGAGATGGTCGTCTGGTTATATGGGAATGCCAATGGTAATGGTAATTGTGCTTCTGGCGATGAGGTCACCAGCTAAATGGGCTCCAAAAGCGGAAGAGGATGGGGATTTGCACCACTTGGCGCTGGCTTAGTGTGATGAAGTGCCGCCAACGCCACATGCGGACGCAGTCGAGCACCCGGTTGGGTGTTCCCAGCTGCCTGTGTTCCCTGGCAGCTCCCGGAGAAGACGCCTTCTACTCAGGAGCTACAAGGATGACCAGGTAAACAGAGGATCTAGAACTGGAACTGCAGCTGCTGGCCAGGATTTGCCACTACGCCTCGGCATGCAACAGTTGGCTCTGCAATCGATTGGCCTGGCCCAAGGGTTGGATGCTAAGGATCAGCTTTGTTTCTCGGCTTTTAGGTTCGTTTTTCCCAATCTTGTTTTTCTTTTTCGTCGTTACTCTTTTTTTTTTTTTTTTGTTAATTCCAGCGATACCTCTCTGCACACACACGCACACACACAGGCACACTCGCTCGCACACCAGCTTACGGCGAACGGCGAACGTAGCAAGCGCTACAACAACAATAACAAGGCCCACCACACACACGCACACACCGATGTGCGTCACACCGACGTGCTGTTCGTCGGCAGCGGGGAAACGCGCGGGGGGGCGGGACGGGACGGGGGCGGCTGACCGCCCAAATTGCGAATGTCCAGTTTCGGCCGCGGCCAAATCGATCAATTTGGTTTTAATTAGACGCTGCGCGTTGCACTTCTTCTTTCGGTTTCGGTGCTGTGGTTAGGGATGTGCAAAGTACATCAAAATATCAATACATCGGTATTTTTTGAATAGTTTATATCGCGATATTTTTCACCTGATATATGTTATCGCAGCAAACGTAAGTGCCAGAAAACGTAAGAGCCACGTAAGGCTACGACGTAACCCGCGAGCGCGCGGTACTCAGATGAGCTAAGGAAATACCGGAAAAATACCAGATTCCGCGAGTGAATTTCGATGAATTTCAGTTAGCCGCCGCGCGAAGAATAAAAAATGTAAACTTTCGGTGTGTTCGTGCAGAAGTAAGTGTTAGTAAAAGAAGGAGACAAAAAATCATACATATCGGAGACGTCGCAGTGGGTAGGCGGCCTGACTATCGATAGCTTGTGGTGCAGTGTGGCCAAGTGCGAGGTGTCTTCGAATATCAGAGCCTACAGGTGGGCATATTCGATAACACTTATTGTTAGCAAAATACACCCGCCCAAAAACGGATAATTGATTGCCAACTTAAACGCATCGTTGGTTTTTAACCTTTTAAAGCGCAGCCAACTTCACGAACCTTATTTTAAAATAAATAAAATGTACAAACATCAAGATGATGATTAATGCACAGGGCGTGAGGCATGTAGAAGGGTGTTCGTTTTGCTGGAAGTAATCCAGCCCTTGAAAACTTTAAATAAAATGCTAATTTGGAGAAATGTTACTCATTTGTTAAATGCCATTGTCGTATAAAACGTTTCCAATAAAACACTTAATTTTAACATAATATTCTAAATTTATTGGAACATGTTAACATATATTGATGCATTGATAACTTTCTTTGACTAATTCAAAGTTGCGCGCCAAAATATTTACAGCTTAGCTCTCTCTTTAACAGAAGCCACTGTTAAGCACCTTGTATCTTAACAGTTCTGTTAGACGCTGCTCCATAGTCAACATTCCACCAAACATCGATGTTTCCAAAGGTCTCTACGATGTCTTATCGATATTTGGCCATCGCCACCTCTAGAGCGCAGCCAACTTCACTCGCCTTGTTCTTTTTTCCGGTTGACTTTAACGAGAAAGGTTGTGCCCGAATTCTTTTCAAGTGAATTTTATTTTTTTTATGTTTTGAATGGGTGAAATTAAATGAAAGAGCCCCCGCCAGGCGGCGAATGACAGAATGGGCAGGCTGCAAGCACGAGCAGAGTGATTTTCAAGGGCCAAAAACCCGGCTGACAGTTTTTGTTGTGCCCCTGCAAGTGTGTGCGTGCGAGAGGCCGAATGTGTGTGCATTTGTGTGTGTGTGAGAGAGTCGAAGAACTCGCGACAACGTGTTTTTGGCAAAGTTTTAATAGTTTCCCCATTGTTTTGCTCGTTTTCCCCCGCAGATGCCAGGCGTCACAGTGAAGGATATTGACCAGCACGCGGTTACCAAGGCGGTCGCCGTCTTCTTGAAGAAGTGAGTATAGACCAAAGGGTTAACAATCCAGCCACATAACCTCACAACCCGCTTTGTTTATCCGCAGGACTGGCAAGTTGAAGGTGCCCGACCAGATGGACATCGTGAAGACCGCCAAATTCAAGGAGCTGGCGCCCTACGATCCCGACTGGTTCTACGTTCGCTGCGCCTCGATCCTGCGCCACCTGTACCACCGCAGTCCCGCTGGTGTGGGCTCCATCACCAAGATCTACGGCGGACGCAAGCGCAACGGCGTCCACCCGTCGCACTTCTGCCGCGCCGCCGACGGTGCTGCCCGCAAGGCGCTCCAGGCTCTGGAGCACGCCCGCCTGGTCGAGAAGCACCCGGACGGTGGCCGCAAACTGAGCTCCATCGGACAGCGGGATCTGGACCGGATCGCAAACCAGATCGTGGTCAAGCAGCGCGATGCCGCCAAGCAGACCGGGCCCCTTGTTATTTCCAAGTAATCACGCAGCGGCGCCCTTTCGAATTCTAAAATCGCATTTTTAGACTTCCCATTGTAAGCGCTTTTTGTTTGCACGACAGAGATGAGATGAAATAAAACCAACCACAATTTGTAAAAGTCTACTAAACAAGCGTTCGGATGATCTATAAGTTTTAATATTGCCTGCCACGAGGGGAGTAACTATCAACTGGAGTTGTGCCTAGAAAAGTAATCACATTCATTGAGGAGCTATTGTTAATACCATCAATTTGATTATTCACCTCAAGAATGGCCAATGTATCTATTCTATATTCTTGCAAATGCCTTAAATCACATTAGAAACGGAGTTCCATGAACGCATTTTTGATCTTACTTAATGATAACAAAAAAGGGATGCAGATGAACTTCCGATGCACTTTTTATTCAGATGTCTGGACCTGACAATGATCACTATCTTGCCTTAAGTATCGGGAAATGCATTTATAAGGTAATTTGCTACCAAGTTAATGCACCAGGGTGGTGTCTTATAAAAGGAGGAAATAGGAGAGGAGGATATAGTTGTAAATTTGAGTGGGGATTCAACAAGAAACCAAACCTAGTGAATTAATATCAATGTGCGCCTAATCGAAAGAGGAACACCTACATGTATTCTCCAATTCAAGACAATTTCAACAACTTTCCATAAGGCCTGCTTAACTTTTATACTTGATATTATAATTTCTGAAAGGTAAGTCCTAAACTAGCTTTATTTATTCTTATACTCATATGTAAATAGAGTTCTATAGACGCCGAATTTACAAAAATTTGTCAATGGTTAGTTTTGTTAATTAAAAATTCTTAATATGCCCTCAAACATTTTTAATTATCGTAAAACATGTCCTCGTTTTCCAGGTAAGTTAAAACTAAGAAAAGGCGATGTTTTTAATATACACTTTTTAGCAAACCATGTCAGCTCTGGATTTGTTAGTATAATCTTAGCATCACTAATGATTCCTTCAAAAACTGCGACGCTTAAAAGTTGTTCACTTTTTAAACTTGTTAAACTATATAAAGAAGCTAAACATTGTCTTAAAAACCTTGTTTGTACACTTGCATAAGGTATTATTATTACGTTCGGAAGGGAAGGAGAGGGAAGTATTCATATATTCTTAAACAGCTCCAAAACCCGATAGGATATAGCCATGTCAGTATTTCTGTCCTAACGCAAGTTAGACTCAGTTATAAGTTTTGCAAAAAAACTTTGCTCCGGACGGGCTTGATTGGACATCTATTATAGTCGGTCGTATTCTATTTTACTCTGTGGTGTATCATATTTTTATAATTTGAGAATTACCAACTAAATTATATGAAAATCGGAGGACTGCTATATTTAGCTGCTATAGAAACGATAAAAAAATGAATAGGAAACAAAATACAGAATTTTTTTAATCTTAGAATAAATACAATTTTAAAAAATCGGACTATATTATTTCAATGCCGTAGGAAATTATAAGGAAAAATGATTTCAGAATATGATTTTAATACAAACCTTGTGTGCCGAAGTAGCATCCTTTTTGAATATTATAAAAACGTATTAAAGGGTTACGCCTTAATATTTCATAGTATCATATAATACGATCTTACCATGTTTTGAAAACAAACAATGTAATTTCAGTTAATTTAAAAGGTCCAAAGACCATATTTCAATTTAAATCATATCGTATAAAATATTTTGGATATAGCAATAGGTTATACTCTTTCGATTGCGAATTTTTTTAAGTTTTAAGAAGACTTTTGTTTGTTTTTATTAAAGAAAATCTGAGAGGTTTTTTTGTCACAGAATTCCTGTTTAAAGAGTTGGCGATTTCTTACTGCGATGTAAACTTCCGGTAAGATGTTATTTTATAATATCCGACGATAGTACCCAACTTTGTCTTGGGATACAGCTGGCGATATAAGAGAGATGAGCAAAAGTTCTGTAGCCTTGCGAGGGAATACATTGTCTCAGTAGGGTATAATTTATTAAAGAATTCATTTGTTTTTCTGACGGTGTACAAGCGCATGAATGTTTCTGAGCCTTAAGACTAGACACTACGGCTAACGATTGGGGTGCTTGAGGGTATTTCGATCCGAGGCGGGTGCTAAACCCTGTCCAGAGCCTCCACCATGACGATGCTGTTGCCGCGGATTACCTGGCAAAGGGGACAAGTTAATAAAATGTAATTAGCAGCCGTAGGACTAGCATCTTACCACCATTCCGATGTTGTTCTTCGTGTTGTCCTTGCACTCCTCCACCGTGTCGTCAAGGACCACATTCATGAAGGGATCGAAGCCCCGCAAAATGCCGGTGACGGCGCGTCCTCCGTTCAGTTTCAGCATCATCCGCTTGTCCATGTACCTAGAATAATAATTCGGTTTTATGCATAAGAAGCAACTCTATAAATCCCCTATTTCACTTACTTTTTCAGCTCTGGGGGATGGGCCTTCGACATTCTGTGTTAATTTGTAATTTGCTAAAAACGCGAAAACCAAGTAAAAATGCGGCCTGCACAGTAGAGATGACACTACCTTTCTAGCGGTGGTGTGGCTTGTGCCGATACTATCCTATCTATCTGGTCATACTTTCATGGCGGAATATGAGTTTACTCACAATTCTCCGTTTTCCAACACTTTTGGGAACGTATTCACAAAACCTTTCCAAACTTTTATTTATTTTTGTTAATTGGATAATAAAATCATAAAACATCCATTAACAAAAGATAAAGCTTTATTTAAAATACCATTAATTAAATACAAAATAATGGGGTTTGCTTGAAAACTTTAGTTTCACACAGAGATTTTTTAAAGTTGGATTTTTAGAACCAATAGATGAAAATTTAACAGATTAGAAATAAAACAAAAGGCTTCATCAGACAGGCGACGTAACTTTTCGAAATACATGTACCATATGAAATTCAAGCACAATTTTACATTTTGTTTGTAAAAAAATAAAACAAATTGAAGTACATTTTTGTCCTACAAATTTAATTTACATTTTGTTTGTACAAAAATAAAACAAATTGGAGAACATATTCAACTTACAAATATAATTTAATTTAACCTTATTGAAATCCAACCTACTAATCACTTTGTATTATATACATAAATTAAAGAAACTAATTAAGTGCGAATATCCTTTGACCCAAACTGTGTATTCAAAATATCTGAAAATAATTATTGTGGATTTTTGTGTTCAAATATGTTGCTTTTTATGAGAATCAAACAATGACATTATATTATACCCCATATTTTACAAATAATCGTTATGATCCCTCGTTTAGGGAATAGCCCAAACATTTGATCTCTGCCATGTGGTGTGACCGTGCGCTCGCATGTATTTGGGCGGCACGCGGTCACTCTAAGCAGACCCGTATAAAGCGCCCTCCCCCCTGGCCAACGAGAGTACTCTTGTAAAAAACGCGAAGAAAGGTGGCTTGAAACCAGAGCGCAATAATATTTATTTTTTTTACACCGCGCGCAGTGTTTACGACTGAAAACCGAGACGAAAAACTGTCGGTGGGACTATCACGAAATGATATTTATTTTCCCACAACGATGAGCACGCTGAAATTGTGATATATGCATACATAATGCGCTGACAACTCTTATTTTTGGAGGCGTCTATACAAGAATTCGAACCAAACCGTGTGTTTATTTTATGCGATTCGAATTGTTTGTTTGTTTGCTTAACTTACGTGAAACGGAGGTGAAATCTCGCATTTTCCATTTTCCCCTATTTGTTTACTGGCTGGCCTGAAAGAGAGGAAAAGTGAAAAGTGTTATCCGACGAGGCGAAACGGAAGGCAAAAAAAACCAAAACGATCTATAGATATGTGTACATAGCACATAAATTGCAGATTGAGGCCAAGACAAGGCAAGAAGAAGAAGAAGAAGAAGACGACGACGACGGCGAAGAACCTGAAAACTAGAGATCTTGACGAGGTAGCAGCCAGTCCAACCAGCCAAATGGATAGCCTTCCCAGGAATGCTGGCCTACTTACGGGAGCGATCCTGCTACTGATGATAGGCTCCCCGTGCTGGGCCATCGAGGAATCCTCTCCAGCTTCAGCTCCTCCTCCAGCTGCCCGCCCATCGCCTCCGCCCACGGTGAAGCTCAACAAGTGCTGCCACTCGGGGGAGTACCTAAATGAGACGAGCGGCGAATGCATCGCCGGCAGCGAAGCCCTGTGGCTGCCCATGGTTTACCTGGTGCAGCAGCAGCGCTTCTTTGAGCCCCACGGCGCCAGTCCGCGCTTCCTCAAGTTCCTGCCCAACATTAGACCGTCCTGCCGCCGGGATCAGACCACGGAGCTCTTCCGCAGCCGCGGCGCCAACGTGATGCTCTTTCCCAATGGCACTTTGTATGTGCGAGAACGCGGACTCTTGGTCCAGCCGGCGGACTACTGCGTCGACTGGGAGGTGGCCCTGGTGTGCCTGAATAGTCCGCCGGCCGATGCCCTAGAGGCTCCCTCGGCCGTGCAGAAGGAAGCTCCGGCCAACCTGCGCCTGAGCAAATGCTGCGGACGCTGGGGAAGCTACAACACTCAGCGACAAAACTGCGAACTGCAGTCCAACGGTGAAAAGCCCACTGATGGACTCCTGCGACTTGCGCCACAGCTTCCCGAGGGCAGTTACATGACCAGCTACGGCCTGCCCGTCTGCGCCCGATCAGGGGGCTACTCCATAGCCGGGGACTGGCGCGATGCCAGACTGGATCGGGTAACGGGCGGTCTCCAGTTGCCGCACAAGAACCTCAGCGCCGAGCAATACTGCCTGGAGCACACGGAGCGCGAGGGCGAGGTCAAGATCATAGCCTGCCAGCATTTGTTTAGAGCCGAAGGTGGAGATGGCTCACTGGAGGGATACCCCGGAGACGTTGTCGAGGCTGCCAGTGGACAGAACCTGCAGAAGGCCATCTTGACCGGCGGTATACTCGTATCCATCGTATTTTTAACCGCCACTTTGGTGGCCGGCTTCCTGCTGCCCGCTGCGCATCATGCCCTGCACTGGCGGTGCCAAATCTGCTATGTCACCTGCCTGTTGCTCGGCAAAATCCTGCTGGCCATCGAGGAGCTGAGCTCCTCGCTGCAGCCGGGAACTTTGACCTGCCATACGCTGGCCATCA